CGGGTTTGGGGCGGCCGGGGGCCTGCGCTGGCAGATCCCTTTTACTTGTTGCCTTGCCTGACCAGGTACCCGCGCCAGTGAATTTCAGGTTGCCACGAGCTGGAGCCACAGTAATTTTCTCTCGATAATTCATTAAGCCAGGTATTTAGAGCCTGTTTTCCCCCCTACAAGATTATAGAAATAACAGAGCAATTTCAGCTTAAGAGTTTTTAGCTCTCTGTGGCACAGAAATCTCAGCAGAACTTCCCATTCAAAATGACAGCGTGCTATGTTGATACATAACATGTCTTCTCTGTTGAAAAACTTGCTGGCTGACCTTCTCGGGGTCTTCTCTGAATACTTTAAAGACACTAACCACTATCTGACTAAAAATACACCTAAAAGACAACGCAGAACTGGCTTATTAAGTGAAACAGATGTCAGCAGATCAGATTTGTGTGTGCTTACATATTTATCTGTTACTCTCTTGATCGAATAAAGAACGCTGTTGGCTGCAACACCCTTTTATCTTGGGCAATATCCGTCTGCATTAGGAACAGAAAGGTGCAGTTGATCATCTTCAAGCAGACAAGTGTGCAGGCAAGAGGTGACTTGCAAGAGGGACACGTCTTCTATGATGGTGACGTTTAGATTCAAAAGATTCTCTGATTCCAGATGCTTAAATCCTCAAAAAAAATTCTCAGGGACAGTTTAAAGCACAAGCAAGAAATTTCAAGAGAGCTAACGTGTATGCTTGTATACACACACAAACTAGAATACCAGCAACAGAGAATTTAATTCTCTCCTTTGTGTCCTGAGAGCTTATGGATTTCAGAGCTAAAACTATCTGCCTGTCACCTGCGCTGAAGCGTTGCAGATGTATTGATGGCTTCCTTTCCAGGAAGGACAGCCCATTTACCTGGCCGTGAAGGGAGTAGTATTTGATGTCACTTCTGGAAAAGGTGAGTTTGCTCTCCTCTGCTGTCTGCTTTCGTTTTCATGCTATTATTCAGTCATTAGTTTTTAAATATTCCCAATGTATTAGAAGCCTGCAGTTCAGTCGCAACAAAAAGAATATACTTTTTTCCTTTTCAAAAAACCCCCTCGATTTTCCTCCTCTGACACCTCCCCCGCTACGGTTTTGTCTAGAGCTTACACAGCGTCAGCTCTGCCACAGCTTCGTACCTCCTGTGGCGCGGGTGTTGGCCTACCCCTGCTGTCCACAGAACTCTTGGAAGAGTTGACTGTGATTCCAAAGGGGAGAGGAGAGAGAAGTCATTTTCTTCCCCTTTAAAACTTTCTTACACTTAAATGATTTATTTCTGTATTTGCTGTTTGTGCCTTCCCTAAGAAATACAAATGTTTTCATCTGAACTTCTGTTGCTTAATCCAATTTGCAGTTCTAATGATGAAAAGACAGTAATGCTTTTAACTGTGAGTTAGCCGAAATAATCTTTACGAATTGTATCTTGGGATTTTACTGGTTTGTTTGGTTTTTTTAATGCAAATGAGGAACGGTAGCGCACTTGCTGTAAAATCACTTGCTGTAAAATGCTTGAAAGGACCAAAGGGGTCCTGGTGCCTCGCCTCCGTGTGGGAACAGGCAAACCAATGGCTCGCTGCTTTGTTTGCACTAAGCTTGTAAACGCAGCTCGTCTGGACATACACGTTGGGTGATCTTCAGATCTAAAGGAGACGAGGCTTGCCACTGCAAATTCTGGAGTCTGCAAACCCCTCGCGAGAATGTAAAGCACAGCTCCCTGAAAAATACGTAATTTTTAAGACCACAGTATAGGCGTTCAGCACTGTGTTGTACATCTCTGCCCTCTGTTTCTTAGGGACTGGGATATATTATGACAAAGTACCAAATCAAAAGTCAGTTTTGGAAAGAAGAGCCTTGGAGTCGATTTGTTCCTTTCAGTTCACTGACAAGCGTAACACGCTGGTGAAACGCAGGGGCTGAACATACCCTGTACATTGTCAGATCATCACTGGATTTTTGTTGTTTTTTTTTAATCTGACAGAATTTTACGGAAAAGGAGCCCCATACAATGCTTTGGCTGGAAAAGACTCAACAAGAGGAGTTGCAAAGATGTCTCTGGACCCAGCGGACCTTACGCATGACATAGTAAGAAACTGGACTATAGTTTAATTCCATTTTGCAAAGCTTTATTCTTTTGGTAAGAAACTGGACTATTAGTTTAATTCCATTTTGCAAAGCTTTATTCTTTTGCAAGATGATGAATTATAATATTTAATGTATTTATATTCATTTAAGTTGATCAATATAATTTAAAACCGAAATGCATTAATATTCTTTAAATACATAAAATGGATATGTATTTAATGCTCACGAAAGCTGCGGTGCTAACAGTTTTGGAGAGGAAAGTTTTTAATCTGTGGAACCAATACAATTTATGTAAGCATGTAAAGGGGAAATTACCTGCCGCTTAGAAAGATGCTTCCAAAGAGAGTAAATCACTTTATTAATTGATTTAGTTCAGCCTGTGTCACTGATGTGGCAGTGGACGCTACCTCTGGCAGTGGCTTGTTGCTTGGTTGAGGTGCGATGTACTTACGCAGGGGAAATGAAGGGAGATTAACAGTTGTTTGACCTGAACATATTAAAGTTTTGTCAAGGCTGAATTTGAATGAAAAGAATAAAATTACAGGTTATACTATCAATTTTGTTAACCATGCTCTGCAAAGTAAACCCAAAAGGTTTTACCCAAAGTAAACCCTAAATTTTATAGCAATCAATAAAAATGAAAAATGCATGTAAATATCTGTATTTTTATTTCTTTGAGACAGGACTTTCATTTCCATATTTCATTTAGACAGGACTCACAGAAGAGGAACTGAAGTCCCTGGATGATATCTTCAATAATGTTTATAAGGCCAAATATCCAATTGTTGGCTATACTTCTCGACGAATTCTGAATGAGGATGGCAGCCCAAATCTAGACTTTAAACCTGAAGATCAACCACATTTCAACATTAAAGATGAATTTTGAGAAACATTTTTGGACCTAGAGAATGCGTGGGGAGAAGCATGATAGAATACTAGATAGATCCCCTGTTTTCTGGAGATCATGACAACAGTTAGCTATCACGAGTCAGTTTTCTGTTTAGAAAATATGTGTGTGTGTACACACACAGTTTACATAGCATTCTTCCTTCCAGGAAACAAACAGATCTGTATTAGTGTCATATACTTGGGCTGCTTGCTCTGAATTACGGGAATTATTTCATATGAAAGTTCTTTCTGCCTGGATTTCTCTGGTTACAAGTGTGTAATGTAAAATGACATTCCTTAGAAGAGATAAGGAAGTTTTTAATGGTTGAAATGTGACTGGTCTTTTTGTAAATCCAAAGTTGTTTCCCCTTGGAAGGGTGTGAATGCATTATCTGGACAAGCTAACATCAATTCTCTGTGCTTCATGTGAGCATATGTACAAACAGGTGTAATAGATGCTGACATTTTAAAAAGCACCGTGGGATTTAATATTTGATAGGTTTGAGGATACTGGATATAAAACCACTCAATCTCTTAAAATGCAGTTACTTTGGAATATTTATACACAGCCTACAGCTGTAAACCAAGAAAAGTAAATCTTTTTTTCCCCATGAGAACCACTGTGACTATTTTAAGTAAGACTATTATTATGTTAGTTTTGAATAAATGACACTAATTCTTTAAAATCGTTATCAAAGATGCCATCTGTATTAGATTTTGATGATTTCCTTCTAGCTTCCTCCACTCTCTCTGACGAAGAAAGGAAATGGTAGCCCACTGTTCACCACATACTCTTACAGCACAAGTTTATCATAGTAGTTTAGTATCCTGTGGGTATTATTAGCATCTTTATTATTGACAATTTCAGCTCTCATTTTTAATTTCTGTTAGTTTTTCTTTGTTCTTACTCTGGCTTCGTTATTGCTGTTGCAGTGAAGTTTGCTTTCCTATGTTCCTCCTCCTTTTAACCTAATACAAAATTGCAGATCCTGTGGGGTGAGAGCAGACCCCCTTTATTGGGTTTCTCTGGTAGTCTTTCAGCAACAAGTGGGCCGTAAAAGCGTGCGCCATATGAATTGCTGCTAACCACTGACTTTCACTAACTTAGGTAGAATGTAAATTGTCATGTATGTGGATTTGTCTGCCACTGAGACAGGCTGAATTGACATGGAAGAACTGAGCAGCTGCTCCCAATTCTATATTAATAATATAAATATAATAAAAATACAACTCTGTTTTGTTCTGCTTCTGTAGCATTCTGGCCATTTTCTTTGAAAGAAAGATCTTACTAGATGTTTCTCCACTTTATGGTTTGTGGGGGACAGCTGCCTGTCAGTTGAATAACTAGAAAAGCCGTTTCTGTTTATTTATCATTTCTTTCACAGTGTTACAGATGTTGCTCTAAACTTGTTTTGTATCTTAACCATCAGACCACTTAATTTGCAGGAGGCACTCCATGGCCCCCCTGCTGTTGGATGGTGCTCTGGGGTGGAATAAATAATGTAGCATTTAAAAGAATACTGTTGCTTCAGAGAATTATTTTTGGTTTATTATTATTACTACTGCTGACCTCTTGATTAGATACCAACAACAGCTGGGAGTTGGCCCCGTGATGATGCCTGCCCACAGGTATGGTGTACACCTGCCATCTTTGCAGGAATGCCTGTGGGTTTGGTGGTAACGGTGGTTGTTCTTTTGCCAGCATTTCAGAAATAATTTTCCAGTGCCTACTCGTTGTTTGTTGTGGTTTTTTTCTTCCCTTGTTTTCCTTTCCTTACATTCTTCCTTATGGGACAACTTCAGCAGTTGTGCTACCGTGATTACTGTAATAGTCTTGGCTTCATCTGGGATCAGCATATCCAGCTGCATTTCAAAAATGTTGTAGCTAGATTTGAACTCCTCACCACGGAGTGCCTTGCTGTTACTCTTCTCTCCCTGCTTTTCCTTTTCACACTATGACGGTCGCCTTTGCTGATCTCGAAGCGGATAACTCTGCTTCTGTTTGTGCTACATTTTGGGTGCGTTTCGGTGAAGAAACCCTCCCGTTGCAACAGGCAACGGTGACAAAAAACCCCGCTCTTGCAGCGTGAGATCCCTGTGAATGCAACCTGCCCTCGCTCAGAGGGAGATGCGCTAGTCCTTCCTTTCTCTTGTTAAAGACAAGATTATCACAATTGATTGCATTTTAGAATGCGAAACGCTTCCTTTTTGTTTTTATTTCAGTTTGGGAACTGAAGGATTTGCATTTAATTGCTTCCTAGGCTACTTCACTTGAGGTTCCCACTCAGTAGAAGAGTGTTAAGATAATAAGGCTTTAAGTGGGCATACATCCATAGCACGTTTTCACTGACTACTTTTTAAAAATTAATTCAGAGTACCTCAGTATTTCTTTCAGTGTTAATTTAATGACACTGTTTTATGTCCAAGGTTGTTACTTGCCAACAGCCTGAAATCTATTTTGCTTAAAAGCAAACTGTCTGCTATGGTTGTTTTGTTCAGTATGTTGCATTTCCCTGACCTCTGTATTATTCCAGTCAGACAGGTGTCCTCACTATCTATATGTTGCAATCAAAACAAATTGTATGCTATCCTTGTTTTTTCAGTCAGCTGCATTTCCCTGACCTCTATTATTCCAGTAAAACAGGTGCCCTCACCATCTATAAATTGCACTCTCAACAAACAAGCTGTGTAAAGCCCTATTATAGCCCTCCTACTACTCCCCACCTCCTTTGGAGAGTGAACAGTTTCTTTTCAATTTACTTGCTGCTTCCAGATAACATTGCAAATGTCATTATTTTTGCTGTGCTGCTTCTAATCTGTGTCTTGCTAATTTAACATGGGTATCTGAATGGTCAATGTTTTAATGAATGTTGCGCCGAGAATTACCTTACTTTAGGATTTAATAATAGTTTACTCTTCAGAATGTTAAGAATTATCGGATGGGTTCATTGCTTAGAGGATGTGTAACCTGAGTTGCTCTTTCCCACCCGACACTTTTTTTCAGTCATCCCTCACTTTGATCCTAAAACATTTGACTTAACTTTTGTGACAGGATAGATTCTATCATCTGTACTTTAAGAAGGACTTCTCCGATTGCTAACTGGAGCAAGAGGACTAGTAATACAAGCAATCAAACTTTGGTAAAGGGGTTATGAAATGCAGATCAAAGAATCATCTTTGTTTTCGCAGCTGTAGAGACTGCAGTGAAGTGAAACCCTACGAAGAACATGTAAGGTGTGTTAGCAGCTGCTAGTGACAGTTACTACTTATTGCATCCTAATCTAAACAAGATCACCCGCCAGAATGCAGGGACTCCGAATCCTGCAGATTGAATAGCTGAGGTTTTTCCAAGAATTTGAGATTAGACATAAACGGAAGTTACTTCTTTTCTAACTGTACTGTCTATATGGACACCATACTTCTTGTGGCCCTGTGACAAAATATGAGCGTTTCATTGATTTAAGTGAATCAGTTTCTCTATTAGTTTTCTTATGCAGGAAAGGCCTTGTGGTACTTTGAAAACTGCAGCCTAGGCGAACAGTCTTTATGGTCTGATGATATCAGCTGTGAATTCATAACAACATAGGAATCAGTGCAGGATCATGTTTCAGGCTGCACCTGTCAGACCTGCCAGACTTTCACATTTCAGTAAAAATTGAAAGAGGATGCTTATCTGTTGAAGTACAGTGCTTTGGAGTGGCAGAAGCCTCAACACAGTTTGTAAATCACCTCCTTTAGTTTTTGTTTAAAAAACACCAGTGGACTACATACTCAACAAATGATAGTTTGGAAATTCGTTTAACTGCTGCAGTTTTTCCTTTGCAAGACTCCCAAGAACATCTAGAACACACTTGACGTCGCAGGAGAAAAAATAAGAAAAAAATATTTTAGCTGACTTTTCTAAATGTATTCTATCTCTTTTGTAAATAAATATACTTATCTGAAATGTGTTCAGTGTAATTTGCATCTGCTCAAAAGAAAAAAAGAGAGATGAAAAAAGAGAGATGAAAAGTTTCATATTAGAAGTCCGACGCTAATTTTTCAGCAGATCTGACTAAACTGAGAGGAGAAACATTAAAAAAACCATTCTGACTGCTTTTGTGAGTGAAAAAGCTGCCATTCAGTAGGATTCAGCTGCACATCAGTAAGATGTGCTGAGTGGCTCTGACTAGTATTTGCATATTTTCAGATGAACACTGGATATTCTCAGGGATATCTTGAAATCCCTAGAACTGAGGTAAGTGATGACAATCATACATTTTGTTATCCGTCATCCATTTATGCTTTTGCTTCATGTTTTTCTGTCCATACAGGGAACTATATATAAGCCATACAACTTACATGAGAAATCCATGCACCATAAGTAATATTCAGATAAAGTAAAACACACATGAACCTATAACCTGAAAGCTATTTATATGGTGTACAGAATGGCCGTTTTTGAAGAAAATCAGTCCTTGTCTGTGAACGCTTTGATTAAAACAAACTCAAAAAGCCCCTTAACTTTTAGATTTGTAATAGTTACTTCACTTGGAGTCCTATCTGGGAATGCTGATTCAGATAGTTATAATATGGAATGTATCTGGCTGCTTTGACAGAAAATCAGTGCTATATCAAAAGGGGATTGTTTTTTTCCACTCCATTCAATCAGAGTCTCAAAGAACTAAGCGTATCGTAGGTAGGTATCACTGCTAGAAGTAGTCTAATAACACAGGCATGATTTTGATCTTGGCATGACCAAAAAAACCCCTAACCCAGAAAACAGAATAGGTGGGAAATGAGACTGTACCTTCATGTGCTATTGAGACAATTTATACTGGTAAGGTAGATTTGGCAGAGCAGTACGTGCAGGTCTGATAACAGACAGTGCTTCCTATTTTTGCTTCTATCAAATATGGTCAATGACAACAATGTAAACTTGTACCCTTACCCATCTGTTGGTCTTTACATAACACCTTCTGTTTTGGCTTTTTTCTTCCTGTTCAGTAGAAGGCGAGT